TCACCACTCCTCTTAGTCTTATAAAAGCATTAATAACACATACTAACCACAAATGTGAACACCATCCCATGTGTTTGTGGTGGTTAGTGGTGGAGCATTTTCGTGATAAATTGTGATGGGGAAAACGGGCAACCACACCCAATCAATTTCTCTCTCTCTATCTCTCTCTACATTTCTCCATCTCTCTCTATATTTTAATTAATTAAAAAAAATATTTTTTATTTTAATAATAAAAAAATAAGAGGGATATAGTGGTGAGTATCCCAACCTTTTAGTGGTTGAATGTGGTGATGAGTTAGCACCCATCACTATAGTGGTTAGTGGTGCGTATAACGGATGCCTTATATGCCAATAAATGTTCCATTATGGTTTAGTAGATGTGCATCAATAATGGCTATTATAACTCTTAATTAGGGTTTGGGGCTAGTATTTTAGAGTGTATTGTATTTTGTTACAATTTATATTTTATGTCTTTGAGTGTATTGTATTCAGCTATATATATATATATATATATATATATATATATATATATATATTATATATATATATATATATATATATATATATATATATATATATGGAAATAATAGTATTAGGTTTTTCATATTTATCTGTGTAGTACTCCCTCCGTTCCAAAATTATTGTCCACCTTACTATTTTAGTTTATCCCAAAATTATTGTCTACTACCAAAAATAGATATACATTGTTACTATATTATCCCTAACATTTAATAAAGTAAACTTGAATAATTACAAACGTACATTTCTCATTGGTTTTAGAAAATGGCAAAATGGTCGTTTTACTAAAAAAACAAAACTAATGATTGCTTTTCTTAATCTATGTGTTTTTTGTCTGTGGACAATAATTTTGGGACGGAAGGAGTATTATATTATTATGCTATTATGTCTTATTTAAGCGAAATATATGAATTTGTAGAATAATAACATATATAATTGGATTAAATGAAAAGGAAATAGCACACCACTCTTTACGGGAATACAAAAGTACAAGAAAACCAAAAGAAATTTAATACAAAAAAAATATTATCGATGACTTATAATGGTAATAAACTTTATCCTCTATGTATATTATTTAGACACTTGTTTTATTTATTTATTTTTTGTACGTATATGACCATTAAACTTGTTTATCATGTTTACAAAATATCATTATAACGTGTTATTATAGTTTCAATGGTCATATGTGTATAAAAACATAAGAATGAGTACACAAAATAAATTTTACATTTTTGTCCAAATCTTTAAATTTTGTTACGATTTTGGTCCAAACATCCCACTCATTTTTCTTTTACACAATCATCCAGGACTTAGTTACACAATCACCTTGGAATTAGATTTTGTTTAGAAACTAATTTATTTGAACTTTTAATAGAAAAATTACAACTTTTTGTACAACCTTTTTAATCATCCTTTACAACTTTATATATATATATATATATATATATATATATATATATATATATTACACTTTTTGCAACTTTTTTTACAATATTCTTTTAATGTTTTTACAATTTTTTATAACGTTTTTTACATGAGTTATTACAATTGTGTATAAAACAACGTTTTTCAAATAGTTTTGCAACCAGCACAAACTATAGACCGAATATGGGAATAAATCAAAACACATAGAATCAACCAACATAAAAGATTGATCGAAACTCATAAACAGACTTTGTCACGAATATGAAAAGAGAAATTACACATTGATTCGTTCTCTTTCTATAAGTTCCGATATGTGTAAGTGTGTTGGTTCGTTCTATGTGTTTTAATTTGTGTAATTTCTCTTTCTACACTCGTAACAAAGTTGATTTTATGGTTTTCAATCTAATTTTTGTGTTGGATGGTCCTATGTATTCCGGTTTATTTCCATATTTGATCTATATTTTATGTTGGTTGTAAAAAACATTATAGAAAATGTTGAAAAAAATTGTAGAAAGTGCAAAAAAAAAAGATTTTTAAAAAGTTGTAAAAGAAGATAAAAAGTTTGCATTGCATTTTTTCATAAAAAGTTCAAGAAAAAGTTATAAAATGTTAATTTGTAAATAATTATTAATTTCAAGTCGATTTTGTAAAAAAAAAAAACAAATGGAAAGTGTGGACCAAAATCGTAACAAAATTGAAAACTTAGGCCGAAAGTGTAAAAATTATTATATACTAATGTATTACCAAGGTTGTAAATAACGTAAGGCGTGACTTGGCGGCAATGTCAAGCCTCAAGCTTTTCTGAGGCTTGGTGAGTCACGTCGTTTATAAGGCGTGACTTAAGGCGGCAACTTTGTATATAATTCATATTTTTAAATGTATTTTCTACTATTATTCATTTTTATACACATATATGAGTCATGACGGAGTTTTGGTAAAGCTTGGCGGCACATACAAGCATCGGAGCCATGACGAGTTTTTTAGAACCTTGTGTATTACATTGGTTAATTTAAAAAAAAAATAAAAAAGACAAAACTGCAAATTTAGTCTTTGTGGTTTGCAAAATTTTTTGGATAGGGTCCAAAAAGTTTTCGACTTGCATGGAAGGTCCAAAATCAAAACTTTTATGTGGTTTTGGTCAAAATAAATATGAAATACTAGTTTACCCTTATTATTTCTTTTTTACATTTTTTATTTATTTTAGAATTTAAATAATTATAAAAAGAATAAAACAACACCCCCATCCCTCTCCATCATACCCCTTCCGCCTTTCTCTCTCATTTTCTTTTTTTACTCTCTCTCTCTCTCACTCTCTCTCTCTCTCTCCTATCTTCTTCTTCCTCCCGACATTTCAAGTGCAATTTCTAGATGAAAAAACCAGACCAGATCCATCATCACCCACATCCAGCAACCTCGCCAATCTCCAGCCACCTCTCCCATCGTCGATATCCACAGCCCACTCGACCCCACCTAAACCCACCGTAGCCTCTTTATCTCTCTAGATTTCTGGGTATGAAAATACAAATTCATATGAAATCATTTCTGGTTCTGTGTACCAAATACTCTTCTGTAATCTCCCTATTCAACGGAACCCACAAATCAACTTGTCTCCCCAATGCTCTGTCCTAATCACCAATAACCACCATCCCTAAATTTGAAGCTCTAGCCCTTCTCATCATATCCAAGAAATCAGAATCATCAAAAAACTCGATTTCTCAAAAACCAACCTGCAATAACAACAAAATCCTTTGAAAACTCCCACTTGAAGTGCTTCAATAACGACATCGATTCAGTCTCCTTTGGTTCAGAGTAGGGGTGGCAATTGTTGACACGACACGACAAAAATACACGGTACGAAACTGAAATTCGAATTTGTGTTTGTGTCGTGTTTGTGTCAAGTATAAAAAGCATGATGTCGTGCCGTCTCGTGCTCGTGTTCAAATTTTGACAAGAAATTGACACGATTAAGCATTTGTTTGTCGTGTTTTTGTGTTTGCCGTGTTATGTATGATTAAATATTAAGTAAATAAACTAATTTTTATATTATGTTATCTTTGTCGTGTCGTGTCGTGTTTTTCGTTTTTTAATTGGTTCATTTTCGTGTTAGTTAAAAAAAACACGACATCGTGTCGTGTCGTGTTCGTGTCACATAAAAGCTTGTCGTGTCGTGTCGTGTCAGACAAAAACACTACACGATGGTCCGATTTGCCACCCCTAATTCAGAGTAAGAGGAGAAGTGGATATGAGAGATAGGAGGTGGGTGTTGACTTCGATTTCAGTTTCAGAAAGAGGCATACAAAGCTTTTTGATTTGGATCTTATGGGGGATCCGATGAACTTTAGGGATGAGCATACAGAAAACAATTTCCAGAAGGAAACCAACACATACACACATACATAAATCGATTGTAGATTGGATTTTGTGGGTTTTCTTATGTGAGAGAGATTTTCGTGTGTATGTATGTTCATCTGAAAACGGTGGAGTAACTAGTGAAATGAGAGATAAAGAGTCAAAGAGAGAGAGAGGGGGGTAGAGAGAGAGAGAGAGTACGGTGGGGGTGGGGGTGGAAATTTTTTTTTTTTTTTAAATCAAAATAACATTAAAATACTTATAGAAAAAGGAAAAAAGAAATCAAAAGGGCATAACCATCTTTTTAAGTTTTTTTGGACCAAAAACCCAGAAAAACCTTGATTTTGAACCTTCCATGTAAGTTGAAAACTTTTTGGACTCTATCCAAAGTTTTTTGAATACCACAGGGACCAAATTTGCAGTTTTGCCAAAAAAAAGTTAAATATAAATGTCAAAATATTTGAGATCTTTGAATTTATAAGAAAATAAAAAAATAATGAATTATTATAATGAAAATGTTTTTTATCTTTTAAATTTAAACAAATAATTTAAATAAATAAAAGAATTAATGAGCTTTAATTTTGGAAATTTTGAAATTAAAAAGCAAGTTAATTAATGAAATTGATATTCATTTATTACTACATTTATTGCAATTATTACATTAAAATATTATGTGGAATTTAATAAAATAGAAAAAAACTAATAAAATGACATTTGAAAAAAAAAAAAATTAATTCAAAATAACTAAAAAATGACATTTGACAAATTGAATGAGAATGTGACAAGTAGCAAAAAAAATATTCATTTATTAGAGATGATGCATATTTAATCACTTATATTTTTTATATAAATAATACCATTAATCAGTCATGATAATATTTTGTAAACAAAACAAAGAAATTTAATAGCCAAATATATAAAAATAAACATAACAGTGTTGTTTTTTACCCTATCATTAATTCTACAAAGAGACATTCCTCTAGAAACTATAACATGGGCTGGACTAGACCCAAGTGGCTTTATGTATTTGGGCAGTTTCATGGATTTGGACGATATCGTGATAACACTATGCTTGCCTTGCTCATCCAAGATGAGTCATCTTGGCCTTTGATATATCACTTATCAGCAAGGGCTAAATGACATACTTTTTTCTACAACCCCTCAAAATTTTGAATATAAAGTACTTTTGTTGAGATACATACTAGCAAATAAATAATAAACTGGTTATCAATAAGTCTAATCATATTCTAGGTTACAAGATCCTCTTCAAAAAAACTTAAACCACCTTTAGACTTTAAAACTTTTCTTCAAACTAAGAACAAATCTACCATATCTACACGAATCCAACCTCCAAAAAACATAAACTTCAAAACATATCCGAAAGTAACAACATTTCACCATCAAATGAACAAAAATAATTTGAAATCCAAACAAGAACAAAATACACTAGAAATGTATCCGAGTGGGTCGTGCCTTCTCCATCCTTGTAGCACCATAAGGTTCATCATTATCAATCCTCTTATTGTTCCTAAATGCAGCACAAGCAATCACATATGCAATAACAAGGATGATCAAAACAACAATATTGATCACTGACACCTTCCTCCAACTCTTCTTCAAGCTCGCAAGCACCCCGGCTTTACACGAGTCACAGTTGTAACACAGTTGTTCTTGGTCATTAGTCCACCGGTTGCAGTCTAGATTGGTGGCCATGGTGGCGGCGTTCACTGGGTTCCACACGGTCTCGTTTATGTAGATGTACCCGCACTCTGTTGGTGGCTTGCAGCATCCAGACTGTAAAACCAGCGTTTCAAAAATTGCAATTTTTATTCCATAAAAAATAAGATGACCGTTAAATCTCATTTCATCTTGGCTAACCTAATCATGTCATGTCACACGTGATGATATAAAAAGTTATACTTTTTCTTGTTGAAATAATTGGCTACCCCTTTTTTTTTTTGTATATTTTCAAATATTGCACTTTATATTTAAAGTGAGACACTCTGTTCTATGCATGTGAATTGTCCCATAAGCGTGACAGACAATGGCGCTAACAAATGTTTCGGGTGTGGCAATTTCGTCTTTTTGTGTTTATTAAAGAGTAAACAAGTTTTTTTAGTGGTAACAAGAAAATGGTTGTTTATTAATCAAATATATAGAACAATAAAGGATTCGTATTGATTAAAATGAAAATCAATAATATATCAACTATCAAGTGGTAGTTTTGTCTTTTCGCATCTGTCACCTAAAAAACACTCGTCCTACTTGAAAAGCGTTTTGAAAATGTAGAATGGAATAAGCTTTTCTTACTTTTATATTTTCATAATGGAATTTAAATAATTAAAGAATCTTCAAATTTTAAAATATTGTTTAACTAATTTTATCATGTCCACTATGTCTTGACTCTTGAATACAACAGCTTTTTTTATTATTATTTGAATCGTAACCCAAAACTTATGCAAAATTGCCCTTCACATAAATACATAAATAAAAAAAAATGTAAATATTTTTCGTTATAAAAAGAATATGAATTTTAAACTTAGGGCATTTAAGCTCCTTATTTCTAGATATAACTACCCAAACTGCTTTGTATAACCGTTTGGGTTAATTAATTTGGCAACTAGACAGTTGACACCGACCTTCTGAATTTTAAATGCTAGTACTTGTAATAGAACCAGGTTTCCACGAAATTCAATATTTGGAAATATTTATAATAAATAAAATAATAACAAATACATTGCTTATTCGATACAGTTTATAGTTAGTTTATCTTTAAATAAATAAAGTTACATATCATAATACATGTTTACATCAATGTTTTAAAAACCGGTTTTTTAGTTGAACCGGTATGGCGACCGGTTCCCGGTTCAAACCGGTTCAACCGCCGGGTCAACCGGTTTTTATAATTTTCATCTTTTTTTCTTATTTTTCTACACATACATACATACATAAAGCATTAATTTGACGTCTACACATGCATACATACATAAAACATTAATTTGACGTCTACAAGTTCAAACATTAAAAATACGCATAAAAATAAGTTATAAATCAATCTAAATACATTAAAACAACACATAAGTATAACTTTTACATTAAATCACATACGTCAAAAAGAAAATAAAATATAATACCAAAACAAAATATAGTTTTAGATGAATACAAGTGCATCAAAAAACATCATAACATTTACTATATGTTTTTATTTAGGAAAATCTAAAAAGATGTGAAAAAGTTCACCAAAGTTTATTATTGAAAATGGCTTTTTTTCCATGTATTTTTATTTAGTTTAACCGGTTTATTTTGACCGGTTCAACCGGTTTTTTTAAAAAACCGGTCGGTTAAATCCGGTTCAGAAATTGGTGTAAAACCGGTGATAGTTGAACCGTTCCCTTCCCCGGTTCCCGGTCCAACCGGCCGGTTCAAATCAGTTTTTAAAACACTGGTTTACATATAATAAACCGGATTTCCATTCGTATTTAACTTTTTAATAATTTTTTTAAGTAAATACTTTTATTTGAAAAACACACTAACCTGAATGGGGTTAAGCTTTCGAAGGTAGTACATGTCTGCAGTTTCCGGGTACCCACCAATGACCCGACCCGTTTTCGCACACGCTTTAGAATCATGAATACATGATCTGATTTTACCCCAGTAGCTATCACTAGCGACACGATCCTTGAGCCAACCCGAATAGTCCTGAAGGTAGTAATCCGGGTAAACCCGGTTCATTACGGGTCGACCAGATCCTTTATCGGTGACGGCGTAGGCGAAGATGATGAACCCGATTAGGACAGCAATAATGATGAACATAGCCCAGAGGTAAAGGTACATGAGGAAGGTGTTGCGGTAGCACGCGCCGGCGAATCCGGCGAGTGAGACGACCATGATGGAGACGCCGATGACGATTATGGGCCATTGGAGGAAGCTCATGCAGTCGGAGTTGTTGGCGCGGGTGCTCAGCCATATGCCGCCGGCGAGAATGGGGATTGAGAGCAAGAAGGTGAGAAAGTTTAGTAAGCCAATCAGGTGGTTGCTTGTCCTCATGATTTTCTCTCTTTAGTTTTGAAGTATCTGTTTCTTTCTGAGTTTCGAATGATGTTTGAATCTGAGCTTCCAGGTGTTTGAATATTATATACAAGGGGAAAAGAGGGATGAGGGAGAGTATTGGGAGGAACGTGAGTGTGACGAAATCACGAAAATGCCCTTAAGGTGGATGATTAACAACTCTAAAAGAAAATTACATTTAGAAAAGACAAAACTGCAGAATTGGTGGTATTCAAAAAAATATGGATAAGGTCCAAAAAGTTTTTAACTTGCATGGAAGGTCTAAAATCAAGATTTTTTTGTGATTTTGGTCTCTTATACACTTGAAAGGTCAATTTTACCCTTTTTATTTCTTTTTTGTATTTTGTTTATTTATCTTAGTATTTAAAAAAATAAAAAATAGAAAAATAAATCTCACCCCACCCTATCCCTCTTCACCGGTACCGTCTCTCTCTCTCTCTCTCTCTCTCTCTCTCTCTCTCTCTCTCTCTCTCTCTCTCTCATCATGTAATTCATAGAGAACTTCTGATTCTCTCTATATCTTCAAAACTTATCTCCTCAAGAACACACAATCACAAAATTATATATACACATAAAGAAAATTAAACACACAGTGAAAAAAACCAATCGTTCCAAACAAATCGTCATTCCCATCTCTCATCTCTATGTTCCTCGGTCCCTCTTCCACAATCCCCTTTGCTTCAGGAAATTGAAGGCATTAAATCCAAGCATTTCAGGAAATCGAAGTTTTTAAAGCATATGAAATTAAAACCCAGTCCCCTTTGTTTTGTTTCTTGGTTTGATTTCTGAAAAAGAAAAAAACCTTACCGGAGAAATCGAGAAGAATATATTAGAGAGGGAGATAAAGACAGTGGTGGTGAACATGATATTTAAAAATAGAAGATGCGATGGAGATGAACCAATGATGAACTGATGAAATCCGAATTTATAGATGTTGAAATCTCGATTTACTGGAAAAGCCCCACCTTCAAGAACCAAACTTTTGTTCTTCTTCAGAGAGAAAACACAAACACCCTACCTTTGAATCTAGGGCTTTTGAATCTAGGGCTTCACTCGTTCGTTGGATGTCGAAAATGCTTGGAGTCGTGGATTGAATCGATCACTACAAAATATTGTCCAAATGAGAGATGAGGACAGATCGGAGAGGGTATGATCCAACTTCAGATTCCAAGGAGTTGTGGCATTCAAGGGGAAATCAGATGAGTCCAAACCATATTTCTTGAAAAAGGGATTGGTTTGGGATGGAAAGCTCGAGGATGAGCGAAGGTCTCATTTTCAGACGGTCGTGTTGGATTGCCAACCAGACATGGCGGCGACGATGGGTGAAGATGGTGTCATGACCATGGTTTTAAAGGATTGTGGTGGTGTCATTGGGTTGTGGGATGAGTATACGAAGGGGGAGGAAGATTTTGAGTCGTGATGGATGCCATCAGAAAGAGAGAGAGAGAGAGAGAGAGAGAGAGAGAGTACAGGTGGAATGATGGGGTGGGCCAACATAATTCTTTTTTTTTTCATTAATATTTACAAATTAAAAAATATAAAAAATACAAAAGGAAATTAAAAGGGCATAACAGTCAATTCAAGTGCTCCATGGATCAAAACTACAAAAATTTCTTAATTTTAGGACCAAAATCACGGAAAAATCTTGATTTTGTACCTTCTATGCAAGTCAGAAACTTTTTGGACCTTATCCACATTTTTTCGAATACCACAAGGACCAATTTTGCGATTTTGTCTTCAGAAAAGTTACAATATTTACGGAAAAGTTACAATTTAGTCACAGTACTTTTTTTAACGAAAAAATCCTAAAAACCGGCAAAAATTTGCATTTTGACCATTTTTGACCGGTTAAGATTGTTCTGTAAAACAAAATTATTGGGATTGTTCTGTAAAACAAATATATTATGACTTTCTGCAAACAAAACCATTATTATTATTATTATTATTATTATTATTATTATTAAAAATATAAATAAGAATACTATTTTTTGAACTTGTATTATTAATATTGTTACTTGTAACAACCCAAATTTTTACAGAAAATTTTTAACTTTTAATTTCATAAATACCAACCACAAGGTGTCCAAAAATCTCATTACATATCCAAATTATTTTAAAATTCAGAGTACAAAAATTAAATGTGAAAACACTGGAGAATGCATGCCGCGCTATCAAATCGGGCCCTTGCCCTTATCAATAGAGGTACTTGAAACATGCAATCAAACTGTAAGCACAAGCTTAGTGAGTTTCTCAACACACACGAATCATATAATCACATAATACTATGCACACATATACACATATAAGTTTGCCATGGAATCCCTCCATGGTCTTCATTGGAATGTCATGGCTACCCCCATGGTCTTATATCCCTGCGCCATGGGCTCCCCCCATGGTCTTGCCAAATGTCATGGGCTCCTCCCATGGTCTACACATAAGTCCACATATAAAACCAATAGCAAAAAATTACATATCCCAATATAAATCATCTCATAACCATTAATGGTTCGGCCTTGGTGCCTTCGACCCATGAGTGTGGTGAGAAGACTCACCTCAAAGATAGCCAAATCCTACAAATCTTGCGGCTACTGCGAATCGGCTCCTACCACTGGGCCAAACCCAAGACTAAACTCAATAAATAACTATGGCTAAATTCAAACACTAAGCCCACAAATACCCAACTAACCAGACCCACCTATGGTCCAAGTCTAATGGGCCCACTAAGGCCCAAACACGATCCTAGGCCCAACCAGGCAAGTCCAAAAGACAAGACGTCCAACACTAAAAGGAAACCTTCAGTCCAAGCCTAACAACAACACCTAACTCAAGCCCAAAGCTCAAGAGTCAAAAAGATGGCCCAAGGAAAAGTCCACTGATGAGCCGAACATTGGGTGTTCCCGCGTGGAACGCTGGGCGTTCATCACCAGCCATAGATTGCGACCCTAAGTCGGAACGCAGGGCGTTCCTCGACCCTACACAGGGCGTTCGCACTCTGTCTTCCAAAAATGGCCATTAAGCACTTAATGCGTAAAGCCACACGTCCCAAACATAGATCCAAGTTCTAAAGGACATCTAGAACCATAAAGTCATTGAATTGGTGACTTTGCATGCCCCAAAAAGTCCCAACTTCAAGATATATCATTCAACTTCCATAAAAGGGCTTAATCTCATGCATGGGGCTTTCTCAACTCTAAAGATGAAACATTTATGGATCTAAAACCTCAGAAGGACCAAGAGGTTCAACTCAAAGCTTCTGGAGAGAATACAAACTAAAAGACCTCACTAAGGGACCAAAAGGGACTAAAATCCATTAAGACTTAGATCTAAGCTTCTAATGAGCAAGGTTAGAGCTTTATACCTCAAATGAACTGGAAATGGAGCAGATGACCAAGATCTATAAGCTCCTACTTGAACCACCACCTTGCACCAAGCTTCTCTTTCTTGAATGGGCTTCAAACACACACCAAAACACACATAATGGGCTCACGACACTCTTGGAGGCTCTAGGGTTTCGAGATTAGGGTTTGGAGACTATGGAGGTAGGAAATTAGGCCAACACTTGGGACTTAAGGTGTTTAAATAGGTCACAAACCCCAAAAATTAGGGTTTACACTTCACACGTTAACGATATGCGTTCCCCAAGGGAACGCCCCGCGTTCGAGCTCCGCTTCCAGAAATCCGAACTTGGCAGAAATGGTCCCTCATCCCCCTCAAACTCGCAAAACAAGGCCAAAAGCGACAACTGTTGGGTCAAAAATATGGTTTATACTTTGCTTTTCTTAGATATTGTAGTTTTTGGTCTATAACTGAAAACAGCCTTGTATTTACGGTTGTAAACGCGTTTATGGTTGTAAACGCGTTTACAGTCTCTGTTCCCTATAAATAGTGTCAGTAGATGCCAGATGCAAAGCGGAGTTTACGGTCAAGTGTGTGTGTAAATCAAGGTGTTCTAAAGAGAGAAACTAGAGAGAAGAAGAGAGTGTGTGTGTGGATCTTATGTGTATGGAACATCATTCATATTATTGAATAAACCATAGATTCATCTTATTCTTCTTCTTCTTCTACTCCATTCTATCTTGCATCATCCACTTGATTGGGATTCCGCACCATCAAGTGGATCGGATTAATACATCAAGCTAATTTTGGGACTTACAACAACTTAATATATAAGGGGCCAAAATGAATAATACCTGGATCGCGCGTTACAAATCACCCCCACTAGACTTAGACTTCGTCCTTGAAGTCTCTCGCAGCAAACAATTACAGGTAATGCATCCACATCTCAGCCTCAGTCTCCCACGTCCACTCTAAACCCTTCCGATGCTGCCATTGAACCTTAACCAATTCAACCACCTTGTTCCTCAAGGCTTTTGTCTTCCTATCCAAAATCGTAACCGGTCGCTCCACATAATTCAGACGCTCATCCACCTGAATGTCATCTAGTGGTACCACCACAGACTCGTCAACCACACACTTACGCAACTGCGAAACATGGAATGTGCTATGAATCTAACCAAGCTCCTCAAGCAGATCCAGCTGATACGCGACCTTGACCACCCAGACGATAATCCAGAAAGGGCCAATATTTCTAGGACCCAACTTTCCCCCTTTACGAAACCGAATGACACCCTTCCAAGGTGACACTTTTAGCAAAACAAAGTCTCCCACCTGAAACTCAAGATCCAAACGACGCCGATCAGCATAACTTATTTGACGGTTCTACGCGACTCACAGCCTGTCGCGCGCCTACTGAATCAACTTGGTGGTCTTAAGCACCACTTAGGTGCTTCACATGACCCGATGTCCAATCTCTCCCTAAAAAACTGGAGTCCTGCACCTCCGACCATACAACATCTCGAATGGGGGTCGGTCAATACTAGCATGGTAACTATTGTTGTATGAGAATTCTGCTAATGGAAGATAAGTATCCCAACTCCCTCTGAAGTCTAATACACATGCCCGAAGCATATCCTCGAGCGTCTGAATCGTCCGCTCGCTCCGACCATCAGTTTGGGGGTGGTCAGCAGTGCTGAAATGCAACTGAGTACCCAACTCCTCATG